CAAAATCCCCTTTTAAATTTGAGAGGATTATCGAAACTGGATTAAAGAACACTTTGGCTAGGAATTGGGTATAATTGGTCGCTCGCTTGGTTGCTCGAATCGTATCGATTCGTCAAGAAAACCAAAACCAAAAGAAAACCATGATCTTGTAAGATTTCTTGATGAACGTGCTCCAAAATTTAGCGAATCTCAATCAAATAGTATTATTATATTAAGATGGTTTTCTCGAGCGTTGAGAAAAGCTTTGTACATAATGTACATAATGTCGGAAAGTTAGGGTTAAATAGAACTTTATATCTTTATATCGTATCGCAGCATCATCTCGCAGCATCCCATAGAAAGAACGAACTTTGTGTTTCATTCATTCGTCGAGACAAGTTTGGACTATACAAATTTCTTAGTCTTGCTTGCTTCCCCTAATATTCACCGCACCGATATTAATAGCACTTGATCGTTATATTAATAATAAGTTACTAATTAAAACGGTTATCTACCGAAAATCGATTTTTCTTCTTACACTATAGGTCAGAGTTAAATATAAATGATTACTTTGGACGACGTTAACGTGAATTTAATTAAATTCCTTTTCTTACATATACTTTAGTAGCTTCAAGGATTTTAATTAGCAATTACTTTAATAAATGGTACGCATTCTCTTTCTCTCTTTTTTTTTTAATGAAAATTATCAAATACTAATTTGATGCTCATTTACATCTTATTTAATATTTTCCTTTGTTATATTAAATTCTTCTTCCTTTATTATTTGTAAGGTACCTATGGTGGTGGCTTTGGAAAAAATCATTTCATTTGATTTGGATGTTTTATTAATAATAATTACACGATGCTCTTTGTTGAAAATGCAAAAGTTTCCATCTCGTACTACTTGATTTTCGTGTTAATAATTATAATGTAGGAACAGGTGGATACCACCGAGAAGAGAAATCTTGAAGGGTCACGGATAATCGCGATAAGAGTACTTGCAAGTACGGTTTTGTAATTACGCTTGCCCTCTTAAGTGCCTTTACCTTCCTTATTATTTTCTTCTTTGCTACTTACTAACGAAACATTTTTATATAAGTGTATATCATTCCAAAAAGTAGAAGAATTTGTTGCTTAATTGTCTGAAATCACGTCAAAGGAAGAAATGGAACGAATCGTAAATTAGGTTTTAGCGCTCCTACGATTATCGACAAATCTCGGTAACTCTCAAGAAATTATCCGAAAGCAGTTTCTCCAAGCTCTTCCCTCGAAATCCTTGATTCGAGTATTTCGTTTTCTAATCCTGTCTGACGATTTGCACAGGACCAACTGTTTGCACGACGGATCTCTCTCTCTCTCTCTCTCTCTCTCTCTCACTCTCACTCTCTAGGTCCTAAGCTTCATTTTCCTTCCTTTGCCTAGTCGTTACAAACAGCCTCAAAACTTTCCAATAAACATTCGAATAAACTTTCGATTGAAAATATCTCCCAAAATGTAATGTTTAACGATTAAGGATCCTTATCCTAAACGTTAATAATCCATTGAGGTAGTAAGTGCAAAGTGAAGTAAAATCGATAAAGCTTAGAATTAACAAAAAGGACGTTTTACTTGCTTTTAGAAGTTATTGCATCATTAAAAAGAAGGAAGAAGCTTTCTCTCGAAACTCTCGCTTGTTCCGTCAACGTCAAACTAACTAAGCAGAAGAGGGACAGAGAGAACACAAAACACAGAACACAAATATAGAACTAACACACACACRCACACACGGAAATCTCTACAAAGGATATTCAGGTTAATGGGGGAAACTAATTAGTCGTTACTAATTAACTGCTTGATAACTGCTCTCAAACTCCACATTGTTAGATAATTATCAATTTAATCTAATATTTTGCTTATATCTTGTATGAAATTGTTTTATTGTTGAATAGTAGGATTTTGTTATGGCTATGCTATCATATTCGTGAAATATTTCTTCTTGTTATGATGCTTGCTTGCTTGCTTGCTTGCTTGCTTGATAAAAACGAGCGATAACGTTCAAATTTCAGTAATATCACGCCTTAATTGATATTACAAAATAAAACTCTAACAAAGTATACGACTACTTGAGATATTGTAAGCGTTAGAAAATTTCTAAGAGAAAGGGAACCCCGTTGACGCAGAATATTGGCCAAGTATTATATTTAACAACAAAAAATGTAGATAAAAATGAAAAAAGAGAAGGAAGAAGAAAATTTGAACAAAGTAAAACTCTCTAGTTCCTTCGTCGTTGTTGGAAAAGTAATAGGAGCGATGAAACGAAGATTCCTCTGTTAAGGAATGAGTTGAAGGGATGATAAAAAGAAAAGAACATATTTCAACGAATAGTATCTACCTAAAAAAGAATTAGACGCAATGATAAAAGGTACAAATAGTATAATCATAAATGTGACTTTTTTCGGCCTTTTGATCTTCCTTCTCAAATTGAAAGAGTTTGCTTATGCTCTTTCACTTGTTCTCTTGGTCCCGTAATTAGTTTGAAAAATTCGCAGACAAATATCTATTTGTATTTTTGTCGATAAAACAACGTTTCTATTATCTGTTCGCTAATTTTTCTGCTGATGAGAATTTAAGTACTTTTAAAGAAAGTTTGAAAAATAGATTTTTTCTCAAACATATAATCACGAAAGAATTTCTTGACATGAGAAATAGAATACTAGGCTCTCGAAACAAATCGAGTTACTTTAGTTCAGTCTAGTGAAACACTCCGATAGTAAGTATCTTACTTATCGATCTGTCCTTTCATCTAACCCCCTCCACCTTTTTCTTCCTTCTTTCTTCTTTCTTTTCTATCGGCTAGAGTTACACTTCCTCCGATCGTCTTACTACGTTAGAGCAACAATTCCAATTGAACTAAACTTTGCTATTTCTATAGCAACTTTTATATAGGAACAACAACAAACAAGTTTAGTATGTCCGAAGTAGAACGGAAAGCAATCAAGTCTTTTTACTTCTTTTTCTTTGGACAAAAAACAAATAAAAATTGTCAAATTTGTTCTACCGAGAATTGATATTAATTCAATCCGAGGAGGAACGATGACGAATGCACCACCAACGACGACGATTCGCACGAAATTCTTCATTTATTTATATTTTATTTAATAACGCTTATTTCAATATGCTCCTCGACTATTTATTTTAGATTGCACTTTCGACGCTAAAGCAAAATTAAATATAACATTTTACATTTACTCACTCGTTGCTCAAATATTTCAATTGAATGAGTGATTTCAAATAACACGACAAAATAAAAATCAATTTATTATTTAACTTGTTCATTTACCTGGAGTACAAGCAAAATTCACAATGTTCAATGTAATATTAAATGACTCGTTTGCTTATACTTAACGATTGTTACTTGTCTTAAAATGAGAACAGAAGAAACATGCGGTTTGTATGAAATTTGTATTATGCTAGAACTGTATAGCAACAATTTAGTTACCCAGTACGCGTTTATCGAAGAAGAGAAAAGGAACTTTTAAATGGTCAAACTATTTAATCGCCCATGAAAAAAGTTACCAATACCGCAAGCTGCCGGTACTTACGTGCCAGGTGGTACACTTGTTCTTCAAACGCCTAATCGAAGAATGCTCTACTTACAAAATTTGTATCGTTGAAAAGTTTTTCCAAAACTTTCCTATAATATCAATTACGCTTAAGGGCAAGTCTGAATAATAAATTGATTAGAATGATTAGTAACATATTTGTCGTCGCGTATGTCGTCTATTTTTTATTGAAATTTTTAATCGGAACAATTCGATCTACAGGCATTTTCTGATACTTTTAATACAAAACGATTTTACTCAATAGGAAAGCTTTCACGAAATAAATTTGATTTTCAAAGTAAAATCTTTCGGAAGAGAGTTTTATCGGAAGTTTAAAGAAATTAAGTAGAGGAAAAAAGAATTGAAAAGTTAGACAAAAGGGAAAGAGAGAGAGAGAGAGAGAGAGAGAGAGAGAGAGAGAGAACAAAGTTTATCGGAATATTTTTCGCTTGGGGGTGAGGAAAAACGAAAAGAAAAGTATCGATAATCGAAAAGCACGCGATATTGGAAAAGCACGCATGTTGTATTGTCTAATAAAGCAGAAAATACGTACGATTTGTATTAATTGTTACTTTCGTAGATAGTTGAAAAACAAACAAATTTCTTCTCTTTTACATGCTATCAGATACTTTTATTCGAAAGAGCAAAACTACGAAAAGAAAAATATTATAGAGAAAGAAAAGCACGTTTCCGATTGGTTCTTCAACGAAATACCTATATGCATATAGAACATATAGAAAAAGAAAGAGAGTATAAAATATTCTATATTCCATCCCTGAATAGAGACTGATTAAATTCTTTCTCAAAGCGAGTGTCGATGCGATACGAGAGAAAAGCGAGTGGATACGAAATTCCATTCCAAAGCGTATCTGCGTAAGATATAACCGAGCGAGATCGGGTCCCATGTGGTGTTACTTCCATTAAGGATATGTTCAATCTTCCTTCTACGAGATAAACTAGAACGGCTATATATTTACATAGGTTAATGTAACTCTTTACATATATATATATAGTATTTTATATAAATATGCTACGGCCAATGTACCCAATTCAGACATTCTACACAATGTCCGAAACATTTTTTCTTACATTATATACTTTTAGGAGAAGGAGAGAGAGAGAGAGAGAGAGAGAGAGAGACTCGCTAATTTTTCCATTATAATATTTAAACGAATTAATAATATTAAGTTTTAATCGAACTCGGAAATAATTCATTTAACGTTAAATTCCTTGAAAAGATTCTAAATGGATTTTTTATTGAATAAAATATTATATTAAAAATGTCATTTTTTACTAGGGAAAATGGTTTTCTCTTCTATTGAAATATTTCTTGGTTTTAAATATATGATATTAAAATAATGAATTCGTCGACGTTCGTTATTATCGATCGAAGATGAATTGTCAAGAATTACAGATGCATGATTACTTCGTATAACTTACCAACTATCGTGAGATGAACCGGAAGTCCTATAGGTGGTGTCGTTGATATTTGGCATTCATATACTCCGGAATCCTTTTTCTGAGGATATCGTATTTTCAATGTCCACTCTTCCGAAAGAGGTGTATGTACTGCTTCGAAACGTTGATCGCTGGTATAAGTGTACCGTCCCACCGTTAGCAAATGAATATCTCGATGCCTTACCCATGAAACCTACAAATATTATTTATTCATTGGAAAAACAAATACCTAAATAAATGACACAATATGAAATTTAGTTGAGTACTTAAAAGTAGTCACGTTTGCGATTGGATAAAATTGGATAAAATTTCAAACACGCTCGATATTCCTTTGAAAAATGTTATTGCTTGTAATTACGAAGGAAAACTCGTGATTTCTTTTATAATCGAGAATTCTTCTACATATAAATGCATATGCGAGTACTATATACACATATGTATATGTATAAATATGTGGTACACGTTCTATGCTTTTAATTCCAGCCATGGAAAACATTCCACGTTTATTCGTGCCAGCTTGGTTCACCGTTTCCTTTTTTACACGGAAAATCGTGCGTAATATTGGATGTCGTTAATTTCGGTTAAATAGTAATATTAGTATAATCCCTTGCTATGAATGAACTCAAATAAATGAATTTCAAAATGTTGTCGAACTTTTTGATCGTTTACGTTTGAAAGAAAAAGAGGGTAGCCGCACCTTTTTTAGCTCGCGGCAATTTTGCTCGCACCGTCAAAGAAAGAACAAGCTAACAAGTAGAAAACGTGCGTTATCAAGGAAACATATTAGATGGTATACACGTACTTTCGGGAAAAGCATAAATGCTAGCAACCAAGCTTTGCATAGAAATGAGTTTCTGGATTAAAACTAGTAACCCGCAAGCTCTCTTTCTCTTTCTCTTTCTCGACTTAATCGTCTTTCTTAAACCCGTGGAAACTTTGGCAACGCAAAGACCTAACAAAGATTCTTCCAACGCCTCCTATATTTGTATAATACTTTTGTCACGTGAATTGGAAATTGTAATAAATATCGACTAATTTCTTGGACATAAATGTTATCGTCAAAATGAGGTTTCTTCTACACTATGTTATATTCATGGTTAAAGTTTTTCGAGAATGACGTAGTTAACGTATTCTATGTTTAAGAATGAGGGAAGAGAGATATAACGTTACTGTTCTGTTTCCGAGATTCTTCACTTTGCAGACCAGTTGAATAGTTTTGCCAACTAAGCCGGTTATATTCGATGGCACCGAAGTATCGAAGTACGGTCCTTTTCCTTGTGACGGCCATTCTTGGAAAATGTCTGCTTTTAAACGACGTATACCATGTGCTGCACTGTCTGTAACGAAAAATTATAAATGCAACGATAATTAATTACTAGACTTTCAACTTGTCCAGTAAGAATTTCGCTTATTAGCATTGAAAAAACAAACAAAGCCTTACTCAGATTAAACGAAATAACGAAATTTTTAACGAGTTAAATAAAAAAATATGCTTCGTAATTCCCTAAGAGAATGAAATTTTTATAGACCATATTACAACATGATTAAACTCGAAACTACTTTTCAGTTTCACAACGAATAATAATTTATTCTCTCATTTACATTTTGTATGCGCGAGACTTTGGCAACAAAGTTGCACGTACGACAACGCGTGTAATAATAATACTAAGAATAATAATAACAATAATTATTATCGTCATTATTATTATTATTATTATTATTATTATTATTATTATTATTATTATAATTATTTATAAATATTAATAACGTAGAATTTGTACTAGCTACGAATAGAATAATTATTATTGAAAACATTGTATCTCTTAAAGGGGGTTGATTTTTTGTAAATAATTAGGAATAGCAGAGAGTAGGAAACTATTTTGATGACAAATTCGCGATTTGAATAGCAATCGACAAACATTGAATACGTAAGCCACTAACGTCTTCCATGCAAATAGATACAAGTGCGAGAGTAACGGTGGAACGGGTCCTTTGTGGACAAGAGTAGGTACCTGCTATCTCTCTATTTCTAGCAACATATAGAAGGTGTACGTGTACGGTTTAGGTGCATCGCGATTACGCACACACTCGCGCGTAACAACGAGCGTAGCAACGAAACGAGATTGTATTCGCCGCACTGCAGTGCATCGAATATATTAATCTTCCTCCTGTATATCTTAGCGCTAACAATTCCTTTGCTACTCTCTTTATAATCTACGCATCAGTTATTTCATGTAACACAACTTACTTATTGAAAAATTTGTTAAATCATCTGGTATTCTGTATCTTCAATTACGAATGAAGTCGGTGTGCAGAGATATTTATGCATTCGCGCAGGAACCTGCTACCGGCCGTCACGTATTGCGATTGAAAATTAGCAAAGCGAATTATCGTAAGTACGCGAGCCCGAACTACCTACGAGAAGCACGTATTACCTACGTACGAGTAGTTAAGCTCCAGCTCTTGTAGTTACCAATTTACAATGGTAAATCTTGTTCATCCGTGCGTCCATTTTCCTCCATCAACTCTTCCTCCATACCAAATTTTACTCATTTTTATTATTATTATTATTATTATCGTTACTGCAATACATATATTAATGATAAACTAAAATATATTCGAGCATAAAATGAACAAATGTAATAAAAACAAAAGTCCCTCTCCGCGAAAACTAATTGTTTCAATTTATTCAAGCCATTCCTACGATATAATATTTTAGCAGAGAGAGAGAGAGAGAGAGAGAGAGAGAGAAAGAAAAGTTCATTCTTGTTAATCTCACTTTTGAAATTCAACATTTATTTTTACGAGTATACGGCGAAGAAATTCAAGAGAGAGAGAGCGAGAGAGAGAGCGTTGAGAAAAGGGCTGTACTACACGCACCCTTTTTACCTATTTATCGTAATAAACCTTTTCGAAGCTAGAGGGATAGTAGATATGCATGGAGATTCCCAAATGAACCCTTTTCCAAGGCGTTACCGAGTAAAGCTGCTTTTATCGAGCAGTTAAATTACCCACATCCTTTTCATATGCTAAAGTAGACGATGCGACAACACCACTCTCAACAAATATTCCAAGTTGGAGTTAAAAAACGGCCTGTATCGGTTAGTTGATTCAGCACGCGCCGTTGAAAATCTATTTAACCTCTGATCGAGACAACGTGACGTATCGAATCGATGGGGGAGTACATATCTCTTTTTTTTCTTCCTCCTCGATACCACCAGTTATCTTCAATGCGTAACGTGCAACGTTCATTTGCAAGCTAGTCTTGTGTGTGTGTGTGTGTGTGTGTGGGTCGTGGTTAAATGAATTTTCACGCTTACACATTTCTCCCTGCAAAGCATCAACCTCCCGAAACCATCCCAAACTAACACCCCTAATCTCGTAGCCCCCTATCCTTCTCTTCCCTCTTGCCCATGCTGCTCACCTTGATACCCTACGAGCCCGTTATTTCGAACGAACGCGATAAAATTAGCATACTTATAAATATCCGACGGTTTTCGGAAAATATATAATCCAGTAGACCCAGAGGTAATGCCGTTTGGGAAATAGAACGATAGCAATATCTTAGGGCGATTTTGACAAAGGTCGAATCAAGCGAAAACTTGACCTCATTTGATCATGTTCTTTTTAAAGATCGCATGGCGATGGGGGTATGTTCAAATAATGCAATATAATTTATCTAGTCAACATTTGGCACGCGTTGTGTTTTTACTTGGAGCTTGAATTCCTTGTGGAAAAAATGCTGGAATGGGGTTAAATCTTGTTCGTTTTCTCTGTGAATGTTTCGCGAAGTATAAGAAAGATGAGATACTCTCTTTCGAGGAAGAATTCTCCTTGCGTCTTTCTCAAAGACCAACGAGAATTGTAGGAAAGATCGAGAACGGAATAATATTCGGCCCACCTCTTGTTCAAACATCGAGAATGCATCGCTAGAAGGCGAATGAAGGAGAAAAATGACTGTGGCTAAGGGAAAAGGGAAGAAAAGAAACGACGGAGTCATATGTACGCTAAAGAAAAATCTTACGAGAAGTGAAAATAGTTGGTAGAAAAGGTAGGAAAAACATATTCGAGTCATTCGTGCCATTTGTGATTTCACAACTAAACGGAAGAAAAAGAAAAAGAGAAATCACCCTCTCCAGTTTCCAAGAAAATATCGTTAAACCAAGATAGAGAGAGAGAGAGAGAGAGAGAGAGAGAGAAATAACGGAATTTTGGGAAAATTTTCAAACTTCAAGATCTGTTTGAGAATCGTTAAGTACCGAGTTTTCGTGTCCTGAGAAAAATCTAACGGCGAACTTATTTTTTCCTTTTTTCTTTTTTTTTCCTTTTCTTTCCCTTCGACGACAGAATATAGGGAAAAATAATGTTTGATCGATCGTGCTTTTAGCGAGCTTGAATCGATCAAATCGTTCCTCGTAAAAACGATCAAGACGATATATGTTTACTCTTATTCTCCCGTCAATTCACTAAGTCAATTCACGATAAAATAATGAACTTTCAAGTTTCTCGATAACTTTACTTATTTTTCAAATATCGGATAATTCGATATAAAAAACGTTGACCCTTAGAAAAAATCTATTACTTTTACTATCACATTCTGATCAATGCAATCCATCAAATGATTCTTCTCTTTCAACTATTATATTTATAAATTTATAAGGTATATATAATTAATAGCAGTGTAGGGTGGATATTAAATAGATCAATAAAGTTGCATCATTGAAAACGTAATTCAGTTGGAAGCATGCTTTGAGATTGGCTTGAAAAAAGGAATATTTTCAGCAACGTCGCGAGGTATAAAGTTAGATCGAAAAAGTTCCGCTTAGCGGGAAGAGAGAGAAATCCTGCTAGATACGAAATTTCCAACAAAAATTGAAAATTAACCTTCGTCCTCGATAATGCAATCTTTCCTCCTATTTTTTCCTATTTTTCTATTGTTTGTTCGTTAAACTGTGACGCAACCCTTTTTTTTACCGTATTTTAACGAATAAAATATAATTTGATTGTAAAGCAGTTTTCAAAATCTCCGATATCGCCGAGGTGCACCCTCGTGGCCATCGACATTTTTGTCTATCATGCAAACTTGCCAACTAATTCAATTTGCCCTACCGTTTCAAAGCCGTAAAAATAATTTATTAGCGCGTTTTCTTCTTTCTCCAGAAAAAACATTACACATTTTTTATTGGATTAGCCGAAAAATAAAATGAAAATTTACTTACGTGAATCATTGGTGTATAGTTTCCCCTTGAAAATAAGTGTATATCGGACAGGGTAGAACAACAGGGTAGGCAAGAATTAAACTGTTCGAACAAACTCTAGCAAAGATGACGAGCCTATATATATAACTTTTGGCTAGTAATAGAGTCGGGGGATAGAAAGGATATTTGAGACATCTGAGTTTGGGATTGGTCGAGTAGAAGGCCAATGGTTAGTCATGCAGATTGAAGGGTAGTCCTAAAAAAGAAAGACCGAAAAGTTCTTTTTTTTTGTCGATTTCTTTGAATACGGACAAAGAACATTTGTGAAGAAAACTATTTGGACAGACCACCAAGGGTTACATTCTCCTATTTTTTTTTTTTTTTTATACGTGAGATATTATTTGATAAATGAATTTTAATTCACGGTGGAGGGTATAAAACATTATTGAGGAGCTGCTAGCGTAAATTATTCTATGCTTTTTTTCTTCTTCTTCTTTTATTCGTTTATTCGTCTATCATAACTGCAGAGTGAATCGAACAGCCTCCGGGCAGCAAGAAACGTGGAAGAAATCGTTCCTCGAGAAGGTATACATATACCTTCATGGTGTCAGAAATTGTCTACTCCTCGAATAACGTTAAAAACTATTTCACTATTTCAATCGAAGATTCTACGAATGTTTCCTTTAGTTTTTCGCATCTTATGAAAGCTTTATTCAAAAGGTTATTGAAAGTATCTTTTGTTCGTGCCGTTAAAGTGGTAAATGGAAATGCAATTTCTCATAAATGAAACTTCTAATTTCTTGATAATTATTTCAAATTGTAATTTAAGTGTATTCCCTTTTAATGGAGATTCTTAATACTATTATATTATCCAAGATATATGTATATAAAATAGCGTATTTCTTAAAATGCAACTAGAAAAAGTATATTTAAAGAGTTTAACGGAAATTCGTGAATAGAAGATTCTTCTATTCATCGAGGAAAAGCACTTGGGGTTGAAGAATGAAAGAACGAAAGAAAAAAATGTTCATTCCTTCGGTAATGTCAAAGAAAAGCCTCTTTCTTTCGTCATTTCTTCTATTCGTAGGAAGGATCTATTAAACGAGATGTGCAAGTTAAATGCGTGTTGGTTGGATACG